TCCTTCCTTCCTTCCTTCCTTCCTTCCTTCCTTCCTTCCTTCCTTCCCTTTTCTCCCATTTATCTTCTCTTTTCTCTTTTCCCATGTTTCTTCCTTCCTTCCTCTCTCCCTCCCTTTCTCCCATCGTTCCTCCCTCCCTCCCTCCATCTCCTCATCCTCCCTTCCTCCGTTATTATGTATCTTCCTTCTCCTTTTTTCCTTTCCCACCTTCCCCACCTCCCCTCCTTCTCTTTTCATCTTGCCCTCCCTTCCTTTTTATCTTCTCCTCTTTCTTCTTCTCCTCTCTGCATTTTTTAAGCCGCCCAGAGTCTCCTTACAGTGGGGGGAGAGGAGAGACATAAAAATTTGATAAATAAAATGCATCAAATCTTCTCCATTCCCAGAACCAGATAACGATGCTTACCCACGTTGTTCCTCGCGGCCCTGCAGCCCTGTCCACCACGACGTGTACGCCAAACTCTCGAATCCTCCCCATCCCAGCCCGGTGAGGCTGGGGCCCTCGTACGTGCTGAAGAAAGGTAGGAAGAGAGCGTGTCTATGCCATGGGGTTATTTGAGTCCTCACCTGATTGGCCCCTTAGCTAGTGGGGTTGTGAAGTGAATTTGGCTTCCCCATTGGCTGGGCATCCATGTTAGACGGGGGTGATAGGCGTCGTTGCAGGATGTCAGCTTGTTCCAAGCGAAGCTGCCTTTTGCAATTGACTGGGTGGCGATTTTGTCAGTGTTAGGAGCGTGGTGGCGCAGTAGTTAGAATGAAGGATTGCAGGCTAGCTCTGCCCACCGCCGGGAGTTCGATCCTGACCGGCTCAGCTTTCCATCCTTCCAAGGTGGGTAAAATGAGGATTGTTGGGGACAAGATGCCGACTCTAAACCGCTTAGAGAGGAGGGCTGGAAAGCATCATCGTGAAGGCTTAAGTGCTGTTGCTATCGGTGTGCAAGTAGTGTTTCCGTCTATTTTGCAATTGCACCCAAGGAGTCTATCGCTGTGGGTCAGTCTCTTTCCTTCTGCTGCAGTCGTTTTGTTCTTATTCATCTCCTTCTCCAGCTCAGCTGTTGACTGCTGGAAAAAAGAAGAAAGAGTTACGTTACCGTAGCGTCATCTCTGACATCTTTGACGGCTCCATTCTCAGCCTCGTCCAATGCCTCACCTGTGACCGAGTGAGTTTCTGTGGAACTTCCTTTTCTTGCAAGATCCAATCGGGGTCGGTCACCAAAACCTGAGGTTTAGCCTTCTGAGCTTTCGGACTCATGCTGGAACTCATCCTTGGGGAACTTCTATCTATCAGAATGGGTTGTTTTGGGCTGTTCTGTGCATTGTATTTATGTGCTGCCTTCCCATTGGCTGATTGGTGTGTCAATGGCCAGCGATTGGCTGTTGTTTCCCTGTGCTGCCAAGTCCTCGGCTCCTAAGTACCTGATAGGTTGGTGTTAAATCAGCACTCCTGTCGACTGACAAGCCGCCCATTTCCCAGGCTTCAATCATTTCCCTGGCTATTTTTGTACCTGCTCGGCCAACAATCTTAGTAGCTGCGAAATTGAATGTATGTCCTTGTTCATTGGCTTTCGTTTCCACTTAGTTACTTACTCCTCTCTTCCTTCGGTGCCCTCCAGGTTTCCACCACTGTAGAGACTTTCCAAGATCTGTCGCTGCCGATTCCCGGGAAGGAAGATTTGGCTAAACTGCATTCGGCCATTTACCAAAATGTGCCCATCAAGGCAGGAGCATGCGGCGACAACTACGCCGGCTCGCAGGGCTGGATTGCCTTCATCATGGAGTACATTCGCAGGTCTGTGGATCTTGGGAGCGCCTTCAGATGTTAAGGCCAGCTGGGGAATTCTGGGAGTTGAAGTCCACACCTCTTAAGGCTGCTAAGGTTAAGAAACAGCGCTCTATTGTTTCTTGATTTATTGTGTTTTCACACTGACTTTGATAGCTCAGAACAGGCCACATTGGTTGAGAAGGAGGAGCCTGTTTTTTTTCCAATGTTAACAATGAGAGAGCCAAATTCACAGTCACATTTCTGATGCAAAGCATCAAGAGTGAATGTTGGGTCTAAAATGCGCTGTGTGGATGCAGGCAAATTTGAACCCGGGGTCTCCCCGATCCATTTCAATGCTCGCATTAAGACCTGCTCTGAGGGGTTTGTAGAGAGCAGTATTGTGGGGTCCTTGGTGGTGCTCTGAGCTTGGTGGTTTTCTTACAGACATTTCACTACCAAACTAGGTAACATCATCAGTGCTAGAACGGAGCTAGTTTCCACCCAGTGTTACCTTCTAGCGCTGATGATGTTACCTATTCGGGTAATAAAACGTCTTAAAATAGCATTGATGGTGAAAAACCAAATTCTCTGACACTGAATGTAAGACAATTGGCCCTCAACCTCCTGTGGTCAATTTTAATTTTTACTAGTGTGGAAGGCCGGTTTGGAGCCTAACCTGGTTCAGAATTGGGGCTCAGAATGATTCACCCCTCCCCTCCCCCAGGTGTGGTTTTCCAGAAGCCCCGAGTGCAAATTCGTAATTTCAAGCAGGGTGTTAGCTCCATAGTGATATATTTATATATATATATTAGGCACATCAATCAGTCTTCGTTACTCTGCATGGAGAGTAACTACAATGGAGACAGAACACGAGGAGAGAGAGATATACCCTCTCATGGCCTCCTTTATATGGACAGCTTCTTAAAGCGGCAATAACCCTGCTGACTGATCCTCATTGCATCAGCATTTACAGCAGCTGGTCAGCTATTAAACCTCCAATACTTTAACATTGTCTTCTCCAGGTTTGTGGTGTCCTGTATCCCCAGCTGGTTTTGGGGGCCCGTCGTTACTCTGGAAGACTGCCTGGCTGCCTTTTTCGCCGCAGACGAGTTGAAAGGTGTGTGTGTGTGTGTACAGGGAGGAAGGCTGCTAATAACTGCCTTGCTTAGCGGTGGAAATGCTGGTCCCAGTTGAGATTGTAACAAGTAGTTCAAGGACTATTTGTAGCCCTGTGGGTTTGTGTTTCATTTTCCAGTTCGATCACCTGGTGGTCCCCCATCGAAGCACAAACCGTCAGCCTTGCATAGTTTGTTTTTTGGGGTTGAGAGAGAGAGAGAGAGAGCAAGAAATTAAAAATGTGGGTCGTTGTCTGTTTTACATCTGCCTTAATTTTACTTTCCCTTCTAGGCGACAACATGTACAGCTGTGAAAGGTGTAAAAAGTAAGTTCCCTTTTCCCACCCTCCGTCGTGGGGAGAAGTCCTCCCTTCCCATAAAAAAACCCACTCCCCCCCAAAAAGGGATATTTTCCCTGGTGGCTCCCACTTTGGCAAATTTTGAGGAACGATGCTCAGCATCCCGGTGGGAGAATAAAATTGGAAGCAGCCCAGAAGCGACTGCGTTAGCGGATCCAGGAAAGTTGGCTGGGGAATTTAAAGTCCGGAGAGCTTAAATGTCACCACCGTTTGAGAAACCCTGGACCAATAATAATCCTCCTCCTCCTCCTCCTCCTCCTCCTCCTCCTCCTCCTCCTCCTC